TTCACGCAAAGAAAGAAGGCGTAACTTTTATTCTCGCTGTAGTATGGTTGCCACTGCCGCCATGTCGTGGAGATGCTGTGTTTCGTTGTGCAAGCGAAACTACTTTGTTTGGTCTTCCTAAAGAGGACGATATCCGCTTCGTCATGCCTAGAGCTGATCCGTGCTGGTTGCTGAGGAAATACATCAACTTAGTGCTGTGGATCGCCGGATCGGCTTTCACCATGGACGAAGCAGGGTCCAGCCCGGGGTCTTCACATGTGGTTGCCGCAAGCCCGCCGGACGCTCCTTCGTCGAATCCGCCGGGCCTCAGCTCACTCTATCCCGACCTCAGCTCACACTAAGCCGCGGCTTCCGCTCACGCTAGGTCGCCGTGTTTTTCGTTGTGAACGCGAAACTACTTTGTTTGGTATCCCAAAAGAGGACACGACTACAAATCAGTGGTTAAGTTGTATTTACAACACTGTTCCAGAACAGTTCAACCCAAATATTCAGATGTGTGCAACACATTTTATGGAGGACTGTTTCCTGATCCTGGGAGAGTAGACTACAATGCCGGCTGTTCTGACTCACAGACTGTAAGTACGTTTTCATTTAAATAATTTGCCACTGATGATTCAAACGCGAGTTATTTGAGCAGTGTAGAGTAGCACTTGTTGTTTGTCATTTCTCCGATCACAAATGCAGACAGGGTTTTATGTTTACGCGGCCCGATGTAACGCAACGCGTAAAAAGACAGTATAAGTCATTATAATCTGTAATTATGTCCCCACTGGATGCAACAAATGCCTCGTTTATAATGGGTTTTAATGTTTTTGTCTCGTCGCTCCGGCTGGACAGGGCGTCACAGTATGGTGAGGGGCGTAACATTTCCGTCACACGCTTGAGGTATTTGGCCAATCACAATGCACTGGATAGCTGGCCAATCACAGCACACCTCGCTTTTCAGACCGATGAGCTTTGTAAAAATCAACACGTTTCAGAAAGACGGGGCATAGAGGAGAAACAATAATGTACAGTATGTGGAAAATAATGTGTTTTTTTTACTTTAAACCGCATAAACACATTTCATTACACCAAATACACAAAATAATGTTCTTTTTAGCAACATCATATGACCCCTTTAAAGAAAATTTCGAGTTTCCCACTCGTAATAATGACTTTGTGGAGGCGTTCATGTGCGTTCAACTCGTAAAAACGATCTATCCAACATGACTTGAACGCACCATTAGTCATTAGAGTGTGCATCGATCTGCACTTCAAATTCTAACCGGAAGTAGTAGACCATCCGGGAATCTTTGGCATACTCATTTCAACATAGAATTGGGAGATACTAATCCAATTTTCATATACTATTTAGGATGGATAGCATGCAAATTGGGATGCACTGCAGCACTAGTTTTGTTTTTTCCGGTGACGAATGCACTCTTGAATCTGTGTGTATCAAAGTAATGTCACAAAGTGCAAAACAGCCCTAAAATTAGGCTTCATTTTGTTTACGGTGATGAATCAATATAAGGTACCTCACACTGGTAAGGTTTGTGTCATCTGACATCCTTCTACCTGAACCAAAAGAAGATGAATGATGCCTAGTGGACAAACACAAAGTATTTTTGTTGAGTCATAAAGACTTGTTTACTAGTGACATTGAGTAATAATATATCAAGATATTCGACCAAATTACTCTTAGTAACCAGCCTGCTTTTGTCAGATAAGCAAATCTCACCCTGCCACCGTGTAGAAATCAAACGACAAAACATCGCGAGAAAAACAGAACTACACCAAGTACGCTTAACAAAACCTCGCGAGAAACACCGGGCTCATTTTGTATGAGAACGACATTCCTCTCTAGAAGGCGCTTGTCGGCTCAGAAAACGGAATCGTCCATTGAAACGCTTTCAAATATTAGGACGTTTGGGCCTTATTGTAGAAACGTGTACACTAAACAGCATAACCGTATACAACTCTTAATTACAAATAGGACTGCCAGTCATCCAAATTGAAATTTGACCCAGTAATCTCGCTTAAATCATTACTCTCACCTCACTAATCTCAAACAGCTGATTGGTCCATATTTACAGCGCGGAGAAAAGTAACAGGTACCACGTGACGTTACCGTCAATCAATTACAGTAATATAAGAAGTTTATGAATTTAAAAGACACAGTGGGAAGTTAAATTAGGAATAAAAATCCCTTTCGACCCATTTTATCTGATCAGTTACAGAGACAGTTTTTTAAACAAAAGGTTCACTGCAATTTTTCAAAACGTGTATTGCACTATAGCTTCTTAAAAACGTATGGCACTGCAAATACTGTTACCTCCTTTATTATAAATCGCTTGCGCTGTTTCTCACACACACAAAAAAACCGTCTGCTAAATGTCACGGTAATCTCTGATCAGCTGCCTCTTTTAGTTCCTCGTTTCACGTCTAGAGCCACTCTCGCGAGACTTGCAACAGAGCCGTAGCAACAAGACCTCGCGAGAAGCGCCGCGATCACAGCAACGAGACAACCAAAATAAAGTGAGCACAACAAACCCGTAGCGCATGATGGCGGCGTCGCTGCTGCGCCGGGACAAGAAATCCACCGCCGCGCATCTGAAGGCAGACCTGAGGAGGAGCGACAACAGCTCGGGGCTGCGGCAGCTGCAGGAGCTGCTGGATAGCGTGCTGCACCCGGAGCGGGGCTCGGACCCGGAGGCGCTGGACTGGTGTAAATGGCTGCTGGCTGGAGGCGACGGCTTCGACGAGTTCTGCCGGGCCGTCCGCTCCTACGATAACGCCACCCTCTGCGGGCTGGTGTGGACCGCCAACTTCGTGGCGTACCGCTGCCGGACCTGCGGCATCTCGCCCTGCATGTCGTTATGCGCGGAGTGCTTCAATAACGGCGACCACACGGGCCACGACTTTAACATGTTCCGGAGCCAGGCCGGCGGGGCCTGTGACTGCGGGGACGGGAACGTGATGAGAGCGAGCGGGTCAGTAGCCACTCACAGACCGACAGGGGCTGGACCGCGTTTGGGGGGCATCATAACATCTAGGCGCATCCCGAATCAGCAGCAGATTTGAGGGGATCATGATGTGAAAGCTTGCGAGTTGCCTCTCTTGACATTGTTATCATTGTTTAGCATCATAACACATGCATCACCAGCACAATTTAAGGGATAGTCTCCAGGCTAATGTGATGACTACACGGACAGCATTGTAATGGCATGATATTGTAGGTGAATTCCGAATCTGCAGTGATTTGGGACATCGTAGTCTTAAAGCTATAAACTGTCCATCTGGTACTTTTTGTTTTCAGCTGAATTTATTGGTGTTCCACGTCCGCAGCGTTTTTGTCATCACTTTATAGCTGATCACATTCTGGTTAAGCAGGTTTTGAAATGTCACCGTCCCAAACCTAGCGAGAGACAACATTTTTGGGAATCATAACTGAGTTAGCAGCTGTTTTGGGGATTATGTCATAGAGCTGTCCATCTTGGAAGAAAAAAAAAAACTGATTCTCTCTCTCTCTCTCTCTCTCTCTCTCTCTCTCTATATATATATATATATATATCACCCCACCTAATATGATTATATTAGTTGAATTATGAATATGAGGTATTTTGGAGTGTATTATTCTCAAACCTTGTAAGCTGTCTACCTAGTCATCATTATCGGCACAATTTTTGGTCCTCATAACATTGGCTCGTTGATATCAGATTATAGTTGTGTTCTGGTTCTGCAGCGTCATAAGAGGACCACAAATAAGCAGGCATTTTGGGTATACACTCTTAAAAATAAAGGTGCTTCACGATGCCATAGAAATATTGGTTTATCAGAATTAAGATCAGTTGAAATCCAGAAGTCAATATCAAGTCAAAGTCAAAACATCTCTGAGACCGTGTCAGCTCTCCAAAACCATTATTTTCTTTTCCGCTAATAATACAAAAGAAAAGATCTGTCGCTACTTCGGTTTCATTGTGACTTTAACAGCCAGTTATATGTGAGGAGAAATACACTACCCATAATTCTGAACAGAGATCCGCCAATCAGAGAAGTCGCTGTTAACATGGGAAACAAAACTGCAAGAAATCAACTCCCATGAAGCATTGTGAATGGCGTAATCGAGTCTTTCTCTCTACGCCACCAGCCTACTTGCATATTTCTATATATATATATGAACATTTTGCAATAAAGCATATTGTTTGTGTGCTTATAATTTAAAACTGACTTATAGATGTCGTTGGATATATATTTGTATTTTTATATTGTGTCTGTTGCAATGCTTCATGGGAGAAATAGTTAATTCCCAATTAAAACAATTTAAAGGTCCACTGAAATGCTTAGAAACACGTAGCAGTACTATGTGTTGATGTCATTTTAACTGAAACAGGAAGAGAGGGCGGGACATATCAAGCAGCCCCGCCCCTTTTTAAAATAGCCAATAGCGTTCGTTTATATCACAGCTTGGGCTAGAGCCGTTCAGAGCCATTGAGCTCTGTAAAGCTGCATTTGACAGGGTATGCCAGCCACAATCTCATCCATATTGCTATAAAATATAGCATTCTGTGTAGAATTCAAATAGCTCCGATACATTTTGTGGTCTGCGGCGACTCGCGCATGTGGTCCGCTCCGTGCTATCGTGTCTCTGGACCGGAGCAGAGTGTGCGGTGCGGTGGATAGCGTGACACAGACTTCTTTTTTTCCTCAATGGAAAGCATATATACACTGTTTGAATCATTCCCTGCCCCCTATATAGTGCACTACGTGCCATTCACTGTACAGAAAATACTAATTCTGTGGACAAGTGACCGATTTCAGCCACGGCTTCAGCGTCTATTTTATAGTGCAGGGGGCGGGCGCTTCGGATTCTAGAGAGCATTTGATTGGACAGAAAGTTTGATGAGAAGCTGAAGTACAATGTGACGTCAAAAAAATCGTTGAGCCGTTTTGGCGGAAGTGACGAACTGCAAGCTTTGAATGCTTATATCTTCTAAATGTGAATTGTGTCACTGTTTTGGAGCACACTGCCTTATAGATAACCTTAAGACTAACATACTGATACTAACACTAGGGCTGCACGATTAATCGAATGCGATTGTCATGCGTGTTTTGATAGTAATGTCGGTTCTGTAATCAGCAGGAAATCATCATCACGTGCTTTCAGATGGAGCAGAATTTACTACACATAGCCGTATTTCACTGACAAGTTACGGAAAAAAATCGCGCGATTATGAAATTGAAGAAATAATTTGCGATAATGACAGCTGTTTGCGTAGCTTCTCAGTGAACTAAGGCTCTGTGCAGTAAATGCTGCTCCATCTGAGAGCATGTGAAAATACCACATTTAATAACATATTTTTACTCCAAACTCAATGTCAGTCGAGTGTTTGAAATAAATCCTTCTGTGAGATGACGTGGCTTCTTACACAGAATAAGGCACGCAACATATTTCATAGTATTTAAGCAGTGATAAAGGCATTGCATTATAAATATACTTTATTTGAATGAAAATTATAATAAGAACTCAGATAAACTGTAAATTGCCGTGGTTGTGTGTTTATATTAGTCACGTTGAATCGAAGAAAGCAGTTGAATCTTCTGTTTATTCAGCTGCAGCGATAGGCATTTTCTGGGTTTCTTCTGCAAGGTGTATTTGGAGTTTCTCTGGCCTTTGGATGGAGATTTACTGCTGATCACAGAACCGCGCTTCACTGAAAGATACGCATGACAATCGCAGCTTCTGTCGAATCGCGATCTCGATTCCATTTCGATTTATCGTGCAGCCCTAACTAACACCCAAAAAACTTTCATTTTGATTTCATGGGGACTTTAAGTACTTGTTTGTCTTTTTTCATGATGATTGTAATAAGGTCCTCTGAGCTGGTGAGTTTGCCCCTGCCTGTTTTTCAACTCTCAGCAATGAAAATTAATGGGGAAAATATACTGTTGTATTATGATATTTTGAGCCCTGATCTAACACCGATCTTTTATTCCTACACCTCCTCTATGATGTTAGTGAAAAACCTGAAAAATTGCATATTGTGGTTGTCCATTGACCTTTATGAAAACAGTCTGTGACCTCAGACATCAGATTGTTTTTTTTTTCCTGTATACGAATTTGTATTTGTTACAATGACAATGGGATTTTTGTGCACTAAACAGCAAATTCAGCTCAGCTGACATGTTGAATTCTAATTTACATGCTCTTGTGTGACAGGTTTTGCAGTAGGCATCGGTTAAAAACGGGAGAGAATGTGCCATCAGTCCCTCGGGATCTGCTGCTCATGTCTGAGATGGTGCTGCCGCGGTTTATCATCACTATCATTCAGTACCTGAGAGACGGCTACACTGAGCCAGGTGAGGACACCAGATCACACCTTAAATGCTTCACCTAAAATGTTATTTATTGGAAGTTTCACCCTCAGGCCATCCAAGATGTACATGTAATGTTTCTTCATCAGAACAGATTTGGAGAAATGTAGCATTACATTAGTTGCTCAGCAATGGATCCTCTGAATGAGAGTCCAAACAGCTGATAAAAACATCACAGTGATCCACACGTCTCTATTCTATCAGTTAACATCTTGTGAAGTGAAAAGCTGTTTGTTTGTAAAAAAAAAAAAAAGAAACCAATCCATCATTAAGGCAGTTTAACTTTAAACATCACTTCTGGCCAAAATGTGAGTCCATAATACATAAAAATGCTTCATCTAGTGAAAAAGTCCATTCCCTTTTGTCTGCTCACATCAAAATCCACCAACAACAACAGTTTCGCTTGCAAAAGGTTTTTATTTTTTTTTATCTGTGCATATTTCTCTCCTGATTCAGACTGGATTTCACGAAAGCGAAAGCAATTTTATGGATCGAGGACTCTTATTTTAGCTGGAAGTAATGGTTTGAAGTTAAACATGTCTCGATGGATTTGTTTATTATAGAGTTTCACTAAACACGAATATTAGATGTTTCTGTGGATTATTGTGATGTTGTTATCAGCTGTTTGGACTCTCATTCTGACGGCACCCATTCACTGCAGAGGATCCATTGCCGAGCAAAAAGAAACAAATCCATCAAGGCAGTTTAACTTTAAACATCACTTCTGGCCAAAATGTGAGTCCATAATACATAAAAATGCTTCATCTAGTGAAAAAGTCCATTCCCTTTTGTCTGCTCACATCAAAATCCACCAACAACAACAGTTTCGCTTGCAAAAGGTTTTTATTTTTTTTTATCTGTGCATATTTCTCTCCTGATTCAGACTGGATTTCACGAAAGCGAAAGCAATTTTATGGATCGAGGACTCTTATTTTAGCTGGAAGTAATGGTTTGAAGTTAAACATGTCTCGATGGATTTGTTTATTATAGAGTTTCACTAAACACGAATATTAGATGTTTCTGTGGATTATTGTGATGTTGTTATCAGCTGTTTGGACTCTCATTCTGACGGCACCCATTCACTGCAGAGGATCCATTGCCGAGCAAGTGATGTAATGCTACATTTCTCTGAATTCTCTAAATGTTCTGTTGAAGAAAGAAACTGATCTGCCTCTTGAATAGCCTGAGGGTGAGTAAATCCATATCAGATTTTCATATTAGGGTGAACTCTTCCTTTAAAGGGATAGTCCACTCAGAAATGAAAATTATGGCATTATTTGATGTTGTTGGCAACCAAACAGTTTCGATACCTGTTGTCTTCCATTGCATTTTTTGCCCATATAATGGAAGTCAAAGGGAACCATAGTTCAGTTACCAGCATTCTTCATTCATTCTTTAATGCACGTACAGTGCTGTAAAGACCACATGAAATGGCTTCACGAGCATCAAGCATCACGTGTTGATATATTTCCAGTAGAGTTGGGGCGGGGCATATCGAAGAAACCTACTTCTATGATCAATATGTTTGGCCCATCTTCCTGTTTGAGAAATGCTATATTTTAAATGTGTTTGTTGTCTAAAGGGTGTTTTGGGAATTTATAGGTGTACACTAGATTTCCTCAAAGCTCATAGAACTGAAAGCCACAAAACTCCAGTTTTCATTTCATGGGGTCTTTGAAGTGTTTAGTCTGGACCTGGTTCCGTGGATTCTGATCAGAAACACTTTGCTTAGCTTTTACAAATAGGGTTTTTATGAATAAGACCATCTGCGATGTAAAATAACGTCAACCGCTTTCTCTGTGCTTTTGAATAATATTAGCCCCGTGTGTGGCATGTACTGGCTGAGCCTGCTAGTCCTGCTCACTGGGGTATCACATGCTGCTTTATTTTGTCACACACAAACATCTTATCATGTGCTGGCAGAGTCGGCCGCTGACAGAGATCTGCAGAAGGTTCTGCAGCAGTTAGACCTGCACATATCCTTCTTAGAAGAGCTCACCAAGATGGGCGGGGCCATGCGCACTGTTCTCACCAAGATCTTAACCAATCAGCAGACCTTTAAAGAACTGAGCATGGGTGAGTATGTCTGAGAAATGTGTTTGTTTTGCATGTGGAGTAGTCGAACAATTTAAGTCGTGTCTGCCTGCATCTGTTTTTTTTCCAGTCATTTGAGTTTTTAATTGCCTTTTGTTTACTGGGGTTGTTTCATTTATCACATATTTGTTTGTTGGACCATTTCCACTCTCTCACCTTTACAATTAAAAAGGCTGTTTTTGTTGCTGTGCCCTTTAAAACCTATATATGCAAATGACCTTTGTTATGATTGGCTGTCTTATTCAAATGTGAAACAAATCGCAATATTTATTGATAGGTTGTGGGTTTGCTGTCATGTTTAACTATATCCATCCTTCAATAACAGCCTGTGGGAAAAAATAAAACCTGCTTTAAATTGTGACCGAAACATAAAACTATGTGCAGTGATCATGCATCTGGTTAAACTTGGGCTTTTATTTTTATTTTAAAAAAAAGTATAAATCTCTGGGAGCCATAAACACCACAGTGTTCTACAACTTTCCTTTAGCCAAATAAATGTTTAGGATAATAGCACGTACACTCTTAAAAATAAAGTTTTTTGATTCCATGAAGAACCTTTACCATCCATGGAACCTTTCCACAAAAGCTTCTTTAGGATGGAATACGTTTCTACCGATTCTTAATGTTCTTCACACATTTTTTATTTTTTTTTTAAGAACTGTTCACTGAAAGTTTCCCTGGAAATTGTTCTTTTATGGCATAGCTGTGAAAATCCCCTTTCGGAAACGTATTTTTAAAAGTATATCCTACTTCCCCATTCTGAACTGTTGTTACTGATGGTTAAATGTGGACTTTTATGCATTGATGTATTCTTGCTTTTAACATCATAATTCCAACGGTTTTTAATTAAGCTGTTTTTGCAGCTATTAGCCTCCATAATGGGCTTTTTTCCCTGACGATGTGTTTTTGTTGTTGTTCTTTTTCACTTCATATGACCCCCATTAAAAATAGGCGAAAACATTTTTAAACTCATTTTTCACGCTTCTGTATTGTCCCACACCCACAGGTCAAGAGGAGAATGTTTATGCGAAGAGGAACTATGAGAAGTATTTGTCAGCATTGAAGAGTTCAGGTCTGGTGTCAGTGGAGGAGAAAGGAGCAGGAGCTGGGGCAGGAGCGCTCAGTCTACTGGGTAACACTTGCAGCCTCTACTGTGCTTCATGTCTGATGGGTGAATAGGGAGAAGCAGGTCTTGATGACTCTTTGGTAACACGGTTATAATTTATTTTCTTTATGTTTATAATTATTTTAGGAGCTACTGCCGCTGCCAGTCTGGAGGACTCTAGCAAAGAGGTAGGCACACAGACTTGTGGGACAGATAAAATGTGACCCAGCAACTAGTCAAAACAAACACAGTAGGGTGTGTCTACAGCCTTTTAGCCACTGAACTGATTGTTTTAGCCGTGCTCATTGTTGAGAAGAGTGGGTCAAATTAAAGGCGGTTCATGTATTTGTCTGACAGGAGGATCAGGATGGGCTGCAGGGTGTGGGCCAGAGGAAAAGAGTGAAGCTCAGTAGCACTACCAAAGGTAGAGCCCGTTAGATCTCATCATCCGTTGATCTCACGAGCAATTATTCCCCAAATAATGTAGTAACAAAAACAATTGCATTTCCTTGCTGTTCTCCTGTTTTGTTAGATCCATCCATAATGGACACCCTGAAACACAAATGTTTTTTAGAAGAGTTATTGTTTTGGACTATTAAGTATGAATTTCCACAGAAGATGGTCACTTTTTTGCTCAACATGTTGCCAGATCAGGATTACAAGGTATTCAGTGCTGGCAAACTCTTATGTATGCAGGATCCAAAATGAACCTTTGCTTTGTTTAACCTGTAAATCGGCAGTATTTATTTTCCTAAATTTACTAGCGTTTCTACATTTTGTTACGCTCTTTGCAACTTTGGGAGTATTAATATTGGACCTTACATACAGTGATCACCATTCATCTAAGTTTAATATATGTATATCATATAGGCAAATATGTAATAGTGTGTAAATTAGTGCCCTTTTACACCACAAGGCTGCGAGTTGTAACTTTTGTATAGCTGGTGCAACCAGTCCGTGATCTCTAAATATATATATTTTTTAAATATATATTTTTTTGTTACTTTTTTAAATCAAAATCTATAACATTTGAATGTCCTTCTCCTGTGCCACAGATCACTTTCACTAAAACATTTGTACAACACTACGCCTTCATCATGAAGACCCTCATGAAGAGTCACGAGTCGGACACCATGTCCAACCGCATCGTTCACATCAGCGTGCAGCTCTTCAGTAACGAGGAGCTGGCGAGACACGTCACAGAGGAGTGCCAGTTACTGGACATCATGGTCACTGTGCTCCTCTACATGATGGAGAGCTGCCTTATCAAGAGCGAACTGCAAGGTAACAAAAGAAGCAAAGTGTAGGCTGTGTTCAAAATGGCATGCTACCACACTACTTGCAATATGCATACCATGCACTATTTGCAAATGTATTGGATTGCCGGCTACAAAATGTCTTCGATCTGTCACAGATGAGGAGAATAATCGTCACGTGGTGGTGAACTGTGGTGAAGCTCTACTGAAGAATAACACCTACTGGCCTTTAGTTAGTGATTTTATTAATATCCTCTCGCACCAAAGTGTGGCCAAGCGCTTCCTGGAGGATCATTCTCTGCTGCTGCTCTGGATGAGTTTCGTCTCCTTCTTCCAAGGTCAGTGACTGAAAGGAAATCCTGCGGTCATACAGTTTTTGTTTCAAAGCCTGTAGTGCTTTTTTTCTTTTTTTTTCTCTCAGTCCTATGAATTAGAAATGTGAATGAATTGGTGTTTACTTAATTAAGCAATGAGTTAGGAGAGGCTGTGCTTTATTGTAATATAGGCTATTGGTAATGTGACTGTACTTGCAATATAGCATGGCCTTGAATGCCTTTTATAGATGTTAACTACATAAGCATCCAGGACTATTTTTCGAAGGACGTTTTGATTTTGTTGATTAAAATGAAAGAACTCTCTGTGCGATATAGGTCATGTTACAACTGAAACGGAGTCAATAATTCACTCTGATGTTATGGATTTCCTCTCTGTGCCTTTTGCTGTGTTAGGGATGAATCTGAATAAGAGAGAGCTGAATGAGCACGTGGAGTTTGAGTCTCAGACGTATTATGCAGCGTTTGCAGCTGAGCTGGAGGCCTGTGCTCAGCCCATGTGGGGTCTCCTAACACACTGCAAAGTCAAAGTGAGGCTACATTCATCTCTACATGCATCACACTCAGCACCTTTTTGTTTTTAAAATGCTCTCATTTAGATGTTGCATATCGAGTTGTATTTTAGGGTTTTGTCACGTATGATTGCAGGTTTGTCTCTTCTAGAATTGTTGGTGTTGTACAATAGATATATGTAATTGATGATTGCTTTCAGGGGCCATTCACACAGAATGCATTTTGTGTGTTAATAAATGCGAGAAGATGATTGGGGGGGGGATTGTAAGGTCTTGAGACATCCGTGCCTCATTTTTAGAGCACTGCGTCATGTGTGAGATGCTGCAAAGGACATGAGACACCCATCTTGCACATGCTTACATTAAAATACAATGGAAAAGCAGCGCAGTAGAATTCAAAAATGCGTTCTGTGTGAACATATTAGTGTTTTTTAAGGAGGTTTGTGTATGAGTTAAACATATTGTGTGTTGCCAGGAGACCCAAGAGTACACTAAGACAGTGGTGCGGTACTGTCTGGAAACTCTTCAGATGTGGTTTGATGCCATTGGGTTTGTAGATGAGGTACAGTCTTGATGTTCACACTGTCAGATTGTGTCTTGATAAAGTGGAACCAGTGAGTAACTCCCCTCTCCCCCCCTTTTTCTCTCGGTCACAGCCTGCCCTCAACCAGCTGACCTTTCATTTACCTCTCCATAGATACTATGCCATGTTCCTCAGCAAGGTGAGCTTGAAGCACAGTCTGACACACTCAGAACAAATCCGTTGAGTGAATAATTCAATGTCTTACTCATAAAGGCAGTCTCCTCCTTGTAAAAGGATGCAACCAGCAGTAGTAAGAGTCATTGAAAAATCCCAACCACTAATATTGAGAACCAGTTTGAAACGAGCAAGCACAGATATGTGGAGTGATGCAAACAGTAAGAAGTCTGGACTGTGCATATCAGCACTTGTATGTTTATTTGGTATTGTATTGGCTTGTATGTTATAAATTGTGATAGACCTGCAAAATCCTGGGCAGTTTTTAGTCCCAGTTCTGTCACCAAAAATGCTATCCGTATTGAGCATGTACAGTATATGTCAGTCACAGCAAAAAGTCTGCATACTTGACCAAAAACAAAATGCAGATAATTATTGATTTAGGAATATGTGATTTATTGACCTTTTTTCTTGAGCAAAGAGCTGCTACAGAATCAGACTTTAAGTGGGGATCTAGCAGTTGGTCTGTTTGAAGCCTTTATTTTATGAAACTGATTATAAACTAATCAGTTATTTTTTTGTTGTTTTGCAGGGAGTGAAGTGTCAAGGTCTGGATTTGGACAGTTTGCTTCCTGATCAGGAGATGCTTATGAAGATCATGGTTCACCCTCTTCAGATACAGGTAATAAACAATGAAGGTGAATTAAGACATTGAGAGAAGTGTGTAATTAATGCTTACACACAATAAACCTGGTTGTGTGTAATTAATCGGTGTCATTCAGTCAGCATTTGTTCACCCTCGTGTCGAAAATCAGACAAATTCTTATTGGTGTCAGTGACCAGTGCTGGCCAGACTACAAATATATCATAAAAGTAGCAGATACGACTGGTACACTAAATTTCACATCTTCTAAGGTCATATGATAGCTTTGTGTGTGAAACAGATCAAAATTCATTCACTGAAAGTCTTCCCCACTGTGGAGGACTAAGAGCGACACTTACAATTTTAAGGCAGGTTAGGTGATGTGGTTCAAAAACATGTTTTGTTTTGCTGGTTGAAATTCTCTTCATATCCCGATAGCAATCACTAAGTTAAGTGGTCTAAATGTATTTATATTAGGGCTGTCAGTTTAATGCGTTAACTTAATTATTAGTCATAAAAAAAATTACGCAATTAAAATATTTTAGCACAGTTAACGCTAGGGATGTAACGATTAACTGCGAGCCGGTTGAAAATCGATTCAAATATGTGACGATTCAAATCGGTTGAGATGCTAAACAAATCGCGATTCAGTTAGGGGTAGGAGTTTATATGAATGTGTGTCTGAGGGGAACGTACTGGTATTTTTTTATTTTCCTCTTGCCTCTGTATAATGCATATCAGGGCTCCAGACTCATTCTTCCCACTGGTCGCTCTTTTGCAACTAACTTTCTCAGCTGGTCGCAATATTTTTTTTTTTGCGCTACAACATGGGATAGTTCAATGCATGCTGATGAACTTTTATCATAGTTTATAGTTATATGGAAACGAAAGTTGTTAACATTCAACCCATTCTTTATCATCAGTAGTATTATTTGTGATTTGAATTTTGTGAATGGGAGTTTCTCTTTTGCTGTCGAATTCATGGTCTTGTTGTCACTGATTTAATTTATAATTTGTCTTAAATCTCATTTTGTAAAAAAAAATCGTGAATCGTGAGTTGAGTGAATCATTACATCCCTAGTTAACGCACTGGCCCCGCCCCCAGACCTGTACGTCATCTTACATTTCATACAGTTGACTGTTGACAAACATACAAACATAAATGCAGTTATGCCCTAAAATTCAAGATATTGGGGCAAAAAATGCCCCTGTATGAGTTTCTCATATTTATATCATAAGCGATATCACACGATCAGCGAGAGCAATTTCACACAAGTGCTGTTTTTACACAAATAGCAAGAGTGCAAATGTGATTTATACAACAGTTCAGGAAAATAAGAAGTTAATATCGTTTGTTTTTGCTCAATTTTGCCAACAACAAGATTACCTATGAAGCCATCGCAGAACTGTTGTGCGTCTGTGAGCAACACAGCAGTGTTTAGTTTCGATCAGCGAGAGCAATTTCACACAAGTGCTGTTTTTACACAAATAGCAAGAGTGCAAATGTGATTTATACAACAGTTCAGGAAAATAAGAAGTTAATATCGTTTGTTTTTGCTCAATTTTGCCAACAACAAGATTACCTATGAAGCCATCGCAGAACTGTTGTGCGTCTGTGAGCAACACAGCAGTGTTTAGTTTCTGAATGAATCCTCATTTTGAACGAATCGTGTGAACCAATGATGCAAAGGCACATTCATAAAGAGAGCCGTTTACTTCATTCCTGAATGAATCAGCAGTTTGAACGAATTCAATGAAGGAATGACTCATAAAGACATTTACCGCCACCTGCTGGCAGTTTTAGTTTCTTAGAGTATCATTTCATTGATAAAAAAAAGATAAGTTAAATAAACATTAAAGGGATAGTTCACCAAAAAATAAATATTCTGTCATTTACGCACCCTCATGTCGTTTCAAACTTGAATGAGTTACTTTCTTTTGCGCAACATAAAAGGTGTTTTACTTTTGAAGACTGTTGGTAACAAAGCTGCTTTGGTTACTAGTGACTTTCATTGCATGAACAAAAAATACAAAACAAATAGATGTTTCTCAAATTATCTTTTATGTTCCGTAGTTTATGTTAGGCTGTTGTAGCCTAAACGTTTGTGTAATACATTTTGTTGAATCAAATACAATATTTCTTTTTAGCTCTATACTTTCTCATTTAACACAATAATAGCTTTAAATAATCTTTTGTGGGTATTTTCACAGCCAAATTTAATTTGCGATTAATTAAATCGATTAATTCGATAAAAAATTTAAATGGACTGACAGCCCTAATTTATATATATTTATATAATTTGTGGAATGTGTAGGCATAGAATGTTCGTCCAATCATACTCCTCGGTCCGAGGACTACGATAGGCTGTCTTACCTGCCTGTCAACGTATGTATTTGCATACCTCTGTGCAGACATGATACGTCATTCATTAGCGCGTTCCATTACGCTATTGCAGACCGAGAATGTAATGTTTTCTCAGCGGTGAATGAGACGTGAGTTTCAACCCTCCAGCAACGCCGTCTCTCATCGTGTCTCCGGTTAGCCTCTGCTCTGCCTGAGTGCAGTCATGTGTTTTGGAGGAGGCGTGGCTTTGGAGAGTGATTTGCAGTGAGGGTGGGATCTTATGCTTTCAAAGCTAGCTTGCTATTGCTAGCCTCTCCGAAATCACCTACCCTAACTTTAAGTGAAGGAACAAGCTATCGATTTAATAATTCGCATATAAAAATGAAGATAAATCAATTGCTTTTAAATTGACAAATTAATAGACATTTAAAACTGTAGTTGAATAAAATAAACGTAAAAATTTTGACATTATATAATGTATGTCTTAAGGTAGTGAAAACACAAAAATAGGAAAGTTGCCAAGTATTTTTTTTTTATTATTTTTTTTTATCTATTTGTCGGTTGATTTAAAAAAAAAAAAAAATCAACTCCGTTACAGTTTTCATAACCTGAGACATGCTTGCAATCTTCATAATATGTGAAACACAGAAAGATATGTTTCATGGATGAAAGAAAATCCAATGAATCTGGACTCCCTAGAACTGTGTATATATGAGCTGTTCCCACTGATGTTATTTATATTGTAAAGTATTGCTTTTGTTTTAGAACAGGGTTCTAAAATACGGCCACACACAAGGCTTCATTTTGTCCATCGGTGCTTTAAACGCTGCTGAAGCAGAGGACAGCTGAAGCAGCCGTTTGTCATAAATCTTCACTGATGTCTCGCGTTTCAATTCTGGCGTGTGACTTGATGTTATGATGGTAATGCTGCAGTGTGTGATAAGCAGACGGGACCCATGTGTTGATCTGTGTGTGTGTGTGTGCGCAGGCTAGCCTTTCTGAGATCCATAGTAACATGTGGGTGAGAAATGGGCTGCAGATTAAAGGCCAGGCCATGACTTATGTCCAGTCTCACTTCTGTAACTCCATGATTGACCCGGACATCTACCTCCTGCAGGTAACATGCTGACACTCTCTCTCTTGCTCGCTCACCTAACACTTCTGTACTGAAATAGGTCTTCATCCAGGGTCCATGATCTTTTTCATCATGTGATTACTTCAATTTAAGAAGCTGTTAGAAGACACACATGATACAGAAATTTTCTTCAGTAGAATTTGAGCCGAAAGCCCATTGCTACTAATATTTAGCACTTTCTGAGTGTGTTTTGTTTTTGGTCTTTAGGTGTGTGCATCTAGACTGGATCCAGATTACTTCATTTCCTCCGTGTTTGAGAGGTACGACAACTTTTCTGTCTTGGATTGTGTTTTTACACTCGGCGATGGATGCTAAAAGCTTTGTGTGTATGTCAGGTTCAAGGTGGTGGATTTGCTGACGATGGCATCTCAGCATCAGAACGCAGTGCTGGACTCGGAGCAGGAGAGACCCATGCTGGAGGGGGCGCTGACCTTCCTGGTCATCCTGTGCAGTCTCAGAATACACTTAGGTGCATATCTTCTCCATAATACAGACAATATGAAGCTCAGAAATAAAATGCTATTGTATGAAAGATTTATCATTGGAACATGTTACTTCTAATTGGTAAATCTAAGGTTTTAGAGTGCTGAATGCGGTTACATTCGCACAGTTTGGCTATAAATAAGAGCTATTAAAATTAATGGATGCATTTTTTTGAAAGTGTTTTCTATGAACGTTCTTTCGGTCTTTCACATCATACAGTGTGTTAGCACGCACGAGCTCGTCTCATGTGTATTGTGTGTTTAGAGATGTAGATATTAGCTCATGTCTTTCTCTCTTTGTGTGAAAGTGTTTTCTATGAACGTTCTTTCGGTCTTTCACATCATAGTGTGTTAGCACGCACGAGCTCGTCTCATGTGTATTGTGTGTTTAGAGATGTAGATATTAGCTCATGTCTTTCTCTCTTTGTGTGTCATTGCAGGAATGTCAGATGATGAGATTTTGAGAGCGGAGATGGTGTCACAGTTGTGTATGAATGATCGTACCCACAGTTCCCTGCTAGATCTTGTATCCTTTCACCATGAAAACATGATGTACTGCTTTGATTGTTTTTGCAAGCGTTAGTAAGTTGTCCTCGATTTTGTATCATGAGAATCAACGTATCTTCTCGTCTCTCTTTTGGTTAAGAGCTAATTGAATTGTGAAAGAATGCCAGAAAGAGCCCCAGTCCAAATAGACTGAGCACATGTGTCATAACATTATGCAGCTAGGTAAAGAAGCTGTTATTAAAGGATGTATGTACAAACCAAAATCATTTGTTTCTTCGAGAACACAAGTGGTTTCTAAATGGCCAGAGAAAGTGGAAAACCTTTATAAGTGGAGCTAAATAAAATGACAGTATTAAGTAATATTTGACACTTTTAAAGATGTACTATTTAAAATAATGGAAACAAACCAAACATCAGAACATTCACAACCACACAGGCCTTCCTGTATAACTAATGATTGACACTTACCACATTATTGACCTCTTTAATAATTTGATCACATTAGAGTTTGATGCTTGTCCTTGACCGCGGTTGTAGATCCCGGAGAATCCGAACCCTAAGAGCGGTGTGGTGCCAGGCAGCTGTAGTTTTGAGGAGATGCTGTCTGCTGTAGCTGATTTCAAAGCCCCGGTGTTTGAGCCTGGAGGATCCATGCAGCAGGGCATGTACACGCCTAAAGGTGATGCACCTTATTGTTTTACCATTAAACTATGATAGGCTGTTTTTCTGTAAATTCATTGTTTTCGGATGTTGTGTGTGCCTCTCATTACCTCCAGATGGCAGTGTGACTCTATGACTGTAGCGATAGCTTTGTGTTTGTTTCTCATACCTGCTATGGAACGTGACCGAACATATTTCTGTACATTTGAAATTCAGCTCATATATGGGCATTTTAGTATCTGGGGTCGGTGAGATTTTTTAAATGTTATGCAAAGAAGTCTCTGATGTCCACCAAGCCTGCATTTATTTGATTAAAATACAGTTTTTTCTTTTCTTTTTTTTTTTTTTTTTTTTTAAAGGTAATTTTGTGAAATACTTTTACAGTTTTAAATAACACATTTGAATGTATTTTCAAATGTGTTTTATTCCTGTGGAGTTTTCAGCATCATTGCTTCAGTGGCACATGATCCATCAGAAATCATACTTTCATGCTGATTAGATAAACAAATTGTCTCTTTTTGACATGTATTAGTCACTGTGGTGCAAGTGTGCTGTAGTGCTAATGAGATGAGTTTAGGTAACAGGAGTCAACTAAACATCAGGATATTTTCATCCGTTTCTTGGTAATCGATATTTATACAGTGTTTCAGCATTCAAACGATGAGTTTTCTACTGCTCGTTTTCTAAAACGGTAATTTTTTTTAGATAATAATTATATAACTATGATACTATGTAACTGTATTGTGGTCATCAAGCTTATTGCTGAGCTCTCGCCACATGGTGGCAGGCTGAGACTGTTTCTAAAGTATTCTCCTTTTTCATAACTCACACCCTGTGTTTATTTCCTGCGTGTGTGTTTTCCAGCGGAAGTCTGGGAGAACGAGTTTGACCCTATAATGGTGATTCTACGCACCGTGTACCGCAGAGACGTGCAGTCGGCCATGGATCGATACGCAGCATTGTGAGTCTCTGAAATCCTCCAGACTCATCTCAACATTCACTTTATCATGTAAACACCGTTTCACTTCATTTATCACAAAACGACATTCCTTGAGGTACAGTCTATAAAAGCATTCAAATACGGCACAGTTTATACACACATATATTCAGTGAGGTTTGAATCGTTGTAAATGTTAGGGTAGTGACAGCACAGAGTTTTCCTGTTCCTAGATAAGGCATATATGGACTAATGTAGGCAGTCTTAAATGAGGAAATGAGACTCTGGGTATTGTTTCATCCAGTAATGTTGGGAAACAACAATTCAGTCTGAGGTGGAACCTCTCTGAGATGATGTTGAAACCAAACTGAGAAGAAAAAAAAAAACACTCACCTATGGAGCCCTAAAGTGCTCGGTTTTGTATGCTGCTGACCTTGAGTTTGAGGGACGCTGTGTAATAGAGGGAATTTTCTTCAGGGTCACTACTTTTCTTGTTCTGAGGAAGGTGTTCATGGAGGGACTTGCACCTGAAATGGGTTTTCCCCAATTAGAGTCACATCACGGAGAATCAATACATCACACCTCAAATACAGACTCCCTCTCCAACCACAGCCTTTACAAACATTTCCTGTTCATCTCCGCCACATGCGGAATTTCCATATGTATGGTAGTAATAAAAACACATCAGCAGCCTAAAGTGATTCCAAAACAAGATTCGAAGTTCTTATTTTATTTATTTATTTATTTATTTTATTATTATTTTTTATTATTATTTATTTATTTTATTTTATATTTTTTATATTATTGTATTTTTTATATTTTATTTTATTGTATTTTTTATATTTTATTTTATTTTTATTTAGTTTTTTTATTTTATTTATTATTTTTATTTTATATTTTAATTTATTGTAATTTTAATTTAATTTTATATTTAATTTTATTTTATATTTAATTAAATATTTTTTTATTTTATTTTATTTTTTTTCAAATGAAATTCACTTCACTTCTGGAATGTATGTCTTTTTTTAAGTGCAATGGTTTAGTGCTGAAAATGCTATCCATCATGAAACATGGGCTTTAACGTTTCTTTGTCATGTTGTCTTTAAAGGCATATTCTGGTCTTTATAAGATCAGTGGTCTGGTTAAATGATAGTTTTGCAGTAGCTGCAAGATCAACATGAAATCCGTGAGAGATGTCGTGTGAGTGGTTTTCAGCGGGACGTGACGTTGGCTGTGTCAGTTTGTGAATATGTTTTGGTTGTGCTCGTGTCCGGCCGCTGGATGATGGATTACCTGTCGAGAGGACTTAATGTTTTATATCCCACGGTCCTTTCAATGCTAATGGAGTCAATGATGTCTTTAAAGCAGGGCAGCTGTGTTCAAGTCTCAAAAAGCTACACTTTGTTTGCAGTCGTGCATGTTCTGCTGCATTCATGTCTTCTGTTGCTTGACCTCAATAATATCAGTAGTGCATTGTAAACATGTCTGTTTTTTGACTAATACAACAATTCTTAGTCTATAATTTTGCGACTCGCTGGAATCATACACTTATAGGGTGTGTCATACTGTACTTTAGATCCTAAAACACAATATGAATCCGGTAACACTTTATTTTAAGGATCAATTCTCACTATTAACTAGTTGCTTATTAGCATGCATATTACTAGCATGTTGGCCGTTTCTTAGTACATATAAAGCACATATGAATGCCTTATTCTGCATCACCATATTTAGATCCCTTAATCCGACCCCATAACTAAACTTAACAACTACCTTACTAACTATTAATTAATAAGCAGCAAATTAGGGCTTTATGGAGGCAAAAGTCTTAGTTACTAGTGAATATGTGTTGTGAATAGGGGGAAGTCGTGGCCTAATGGTTAGAGAGTCGGACTCGTAAGTAGTGCAGAGCACTAATTCTGAGTATGGGTCACCATACTTGGCCACATGTCACGTCACTAAATGAATATGTGAATAAGTGTTAGCGAATAAAAAACCCAAGTGAACATGTTGGGGAATGTATAGAATTCCAAATTGACAAAAGCATAATTTTACAAGTTCAAAGTTTTTTTTTTTTTTGCTTAATGTCCAGTTTGTCCACCTCCACAGTAGCTTTTGAAGTAAATGTTGTAATGTCATTGTAACATTTTGTTGATGTAACGGTTGCTGTCACTCAAAAAACACCATATTTGATTTGACCGCTACTAATGAGTGGAACGTGATCCGGCTGTAAAGCCTTAAATTTGGGTCTTTTCCTCACACGGGCTATTGTATGACTACAGAAGACAGGTTGTGGACATCTTGTATCATTATTTTATGGTGCTGTCATTTTGGAGACTGACAGCCCCGTTCCCCATTCATTAACATCATATGGAAAAGAGCAGCTTGGACAATCTGCTAAATAAATATCTCCTTTTGTATTCTAAGAATCAAATGAATAAATTATGATAGAATTGACGTTTTGGTGTGAAATATTTCGAATGATGTTTAATGTTGTGTTTCAGGATTACACTGGAAAAAAAAAATATTTTATTTTTATAATTAGATTTTTAATTTTAGTATGGAAACTATGCTAAAGCCAGTTGCATTGTTTAATGATTGTCTAATAAGTATTTTTGCCTTTTGTAGTTTGAAACAGTCAGGTGTTCATACGGGGAACCCCTGGCCGCCCTATAAGGAGAGGACCCCTCTGCACCCCTGCTATAGAGGACTGGTGCGCCTTCTGCACTGCAAAACCCTACATATCGTCATCTTCACTCTGCTTTACAAGGTGAAACTTATCTTGGAATAAAATGTGTGTGGTTTAATTTGTTTTAAATGCATGGTTTTCCCAGTGTTATTTGATAACCGTTGACTGTTTGTTTGTTTGTTTAGATCTGGATGGATCATCAGAACATGTCTGAACATGTGTTGTGTATGGTGCTCTACCTGATAGAACTTGGACTTGATAATCCGGTTCAGGATGATAAAGTGGAAGAAGTAAGCATTTCCCCCTAAATAAATTATTATATTATTATTTTTAATTATTATAATATTTTTGTAAAAAATACTCGTGTTTTTTATTTTACAGTGAAATATTGCAGTGGGATTTTTTTTTTATTTAGTATTTTTTGTTATTAATAATATTGATATATAATCACAAGCTGTTAGCTAAATTATGTAGCTCTACAAACAAGCAAACCTGGAATTCTTTTTTTAAAATCAAAATTACAGTTTTTGATTTAAAAAAAAAAAAAAAGTGCATCCCAAAGATCCAATCTGATTGGCTGGCTTCAGCACAACTTCCAACACACTCAACCAGACGGCATACTGTGATTACTCTATTAGCACTTGACTAATTAAATCGGGGTTAGTCCAGTGTTAGAACTAGACTAGATTATTAGTGGCAGCTGAAAGCACAAGCTTTGGATAAGGATTCCAGGCTATTGTTGTTGTTGTTTTTTCTCACTCTGTCGTAGGAGCCCTGTATTGAGGAGCACTGCCATGACAGCTGGTTCCCGGGCACCAGCCTGCTGTCTAACCTCCATCACGTCATCAACTTTGTGCGGGTTCGAGTGCCAGAGACGGCACCTGAGGTGGAGAGGAAGAGAGAGAGGGAGAGAGAACGAGAAGCTCCAGCCAGCACCAGCTCTGAGAGCAGCACCTTCGGACAGGTGAGCCAGACACTCTCAGGTGTGCAGAGTCTTCTGACCTTCACGCATCTCTGTTTAGTGTTTAAGACATCACTCTCGTTTCACAGAGTTCCAGAAGGCTGACAGGAAATTGGAGAGAGGTAGAAGGATTTGGGAATGATTTTAAAGTGGTGTGAAATGATACAGTGCTCTCTCCCACCTTCAATACCACGAGTGAGGTCCCCTTGAGCCAGTGAGGCCCTGAGGTGCCCCCAACTGCTCCCCGGGCAGCAAAAATGGCTCCGGGTGTGTGTTCACGGTGTGTGTGTGTGTTCACTGCTGTGTGTGTGCACTTAGGATGGGATAAATGCAGAGCACTAATTCTGAGTATGGGTCACCATACTTGGCCACATGTCACGTCACTAAATGAATATGTGAATAAGTGTTAGCGAATAAAAAACCCAAGTGAACATGTTGGGGAATGTATAGAATTCCAAATTGACAAAAGCATAATTTTACAAGTTCAAAGTTTTTTTTTTTTTTGCTTAATGTCCAGTTTGTCCACCTCCACAGTAGCTTTTGAAGTAAATGTTGTAATGTCATTGTAACATTTTGTTGATGTAACGGTTGCTGTCACTCAAAAAACACCATATTTGATTTGACCGCTACTAATGAGTGGAACGTGATCCGGCTGTAAAGCCTTAAATTTGGGTCTTTTCCTCACACGGGCTATTGTATGACTACAGAAGACAGGTTGTGGACATCTTATATCATTATTTTATGGTGCTGTCATTTTGGAGACTGACAGCCCCGTTCCCCATTCATTAACATCATATGGAAAAGAGCAGCTTGGACAATCTGCTAAATAAATATCTCCTTTTGTATTCTAAGAATCAAATGAATAAATAATGATAGAATTGACGTTTTGGTGTGAAATATTTCGAATGATGTTTAATGTTGTGTTTCAGGATTACACTGGAAAAAAAAAATATTTTATTTTTATAATTAGATTTTTAATTTTAGTATGGAAACTATGCTAAAGCCAGTTGCATTGTTTAATGATTGTCTAATAAGTATTTTTGCCTTTTGTAGTTTGAAACAGTCAGGTGTTCATACGGGGAACCCCTGGCCGCCCTATAAGGAGAGGACCCCTCTGCACCCCTGCTATAGAGGACTGGTGCGCCTTCTGCACTGCAAAACCCTACATATCGTCATCTTCACTCTGCTTTACAAGGTGAAACTTATCTTGGAATAAAATGTGTGTGGTTTAATTTGTTTTAAATGCATGGTTTTCCCAGTGTTATTTGATAACCGTTGACTGTTTGTTTGTTTGTTTAGATCTGGATGGATCATCAGAACATGTCTGAACATGTGTTGTGTATGGTGCTCTACCTGATAGAACTTGGACTTGATAATCCGGTTCAGGATGATAAAGTGGAAGAAGTAAGCATTTCCCCCTAAATAAATTATTATATTATTATTTTTAATTATTATAATATTTTTGTAAAAAATACTCGTGTTTTTTATTTTACAGTGAAATATTGCAGTGGGATTTTTTTTTTATTTAGTATTTTTTGTTATTAATAATATTGATATATAATCACAAGCTGTTAGCTAAATTATGTAGCTCTACAAACAAGCAAACCTGGAATTCTTTTTTTAAAATCAAAATTACAGTTTTTGATTTAAAAAAAAAAAAAAAGTGCATCCCAAAGATCCAATCTGATTGGCTGGCTTCAGCACAACTTCCAACACACTCAACCAGACGGCATACTGTGATTACTCTATTAGCACTTGACTAATTAAATCGGGGTTAGTCCAGTGTTAGAACTAGACTAGATTATTAGTGGCAGCTGAAAGCACAAGCTTTGGATAAGGATTCCAGGCTATTGTTGTTGTTGTTTTTTCTCACTCTGTCGTAGGAGCCCTGTATTGAGGAGCACTGCCATGACAGCTGGTTCCCGGGCACCAGCCTGCTGTCTAACCTCCATCACGTCATCAACTTTGTGCGGGTTCGAGTGCCAGAGACGGCACCTGAGGTGGAGAGGAAGAGAGAGAGGGAGAGAGAACGAGAAGCTCCAGCCAGCACCAGCTCTGAGAGCAGCACCTTCGGACAGGTGAGCCAGACACTCTCAGGTGTGCAGAGTCTTCTGACCTTCACGCATCTCTGTTTAGTGTTTAAGACATCACTCTCGTTTCACAGAGTTCCAGAAGGCTGACAGGAAATTGGAGAGAGGTAGAAGGATTTGGGAATGATTTTAAAGTGGTGTGAAATGATTTCTAGAGTTCCGTTTTGGATAACCAAGTTTGGAATGGTTTGAATTAGGAAGACTGCACTCGTTTTGTTATTCATAGACCAGCTCGTTTCTTGTCATTAATATTTCCAATAATTATACTGACACAAGTAAGTGGGTCTGTGACAAATAAGCTTGTCTGAGATTCTGAAAACGGGAAGAACATATATTGCTTAAAATTGATGGGCAAAGATTTTAGAAATGTAATGTAGTGTTTGCAAAAAAAAACAACTTTATATTAATTAAAAAATGTCAAGTGATGTAAACGAGTAACAATTTTAATACATGACCGTGAACATCTGATGGATGATGTTGTTAAACATTTTTTAAGTTAACTTTGTTTACAAATAATGACATTTTAATAATGGATATTACAGTTGTTGTGAGGATCAAATGCTTAACATATTAATATTTTGAAACATGACTGCTTCACTACTTTTGAAAAAAAGAAGTTTTGCCAAGTAATTAGGAACACTACAGTTAAAAAGTTTTTGTTTCTTCTTAAAGAAGTATTTTATGCTCATCCAGGCTGCATTTACTTGATCAAAAATACAGGGGAAAAATGTTGTGAAATATTACAATTAAAAATAACGTATTTCTATTTTAATATACTTTAAAATATAATTTATTCCTGTGGTGGCAAAGCTGAATTTTCATTTTCATTTGTCTTGTAGATTTTATGTATGTGTTCGTCATTAAAGAGGTTTATTCAAGTCTTCGGTTCTCTGAAGATATTGCACACAGATCCAGACGCACAAAATGAATATCATGCCATTGACCCAATTACAAATAAATGCACAGGAAATAGAGCACTGGTCATAATGTACCATGTGGTACTTTTAGTTTTCTGTGATTGTGTGTGGGTTATTTTATTTTATTTATTTATTTATTTTTTTTGTGCATTGTAAACTGTGCCAGATTTCTCCTGCTTGGTTTGTTTTACGTGTTCACAGAATGTTCTAGCTAGAGATGAGTGATGAGAGGAAGTTTTCTAATTCTGAGTATGGGTCACCATACTTGGCCACATGTCACGTCACTAAATGAATATGTGAATAAGTGTTAGCGAATAAAAAACCCAAGTGAACATGTTGGGGAATGTATAGAATTCCAAATTGACAAAAGCATAATTTTACAAGTTCAAAGTTTTTTTTTTTTTTGCTTAATGTCCAGTTTGTCCACCTCCACAGTAGCTTTTGAAGTAAATGTTGTAATGTCATTGTAACATTTTGTTGATGTAACGGTTGCTGTCACTCAAAAAACACCATATTTGATTTGACCGCTACTAATGAGTGGAACGTGATCCGGCTGTAAAGCCTTAAATTTGGGTCTTTTCCTCACACGGGCTATTGTATGACTACAGAAGACAGGTTGTGGACATCTTATATCATTATTTTATGGTGCTGTCATTTTGGAGACTGACAGCCCCGTTCCCCATTCATTAACATCATATGGAAAAGAGCAGCTTGGACAATCTGCTAAATAAATATCTCCTTTTGTATTCTAAGAATCAAATGAATAAATAATGATAGAATTGACGTTTTGGTGTGAAATATTTCGAATGATGTTTAATGTTGTGTTTCAGGATTACACTGGAAAAAAAAAATATTTTATTTTTATAATTAGATTTTTAATTTTAGTATGGAAACTATGCTAAAGCCAGTTGCATTGTTTAATGATTGTCTAATAAGTATTTTTGCCTTTTGTAGTTTGAAACAGTCAGGTGTTCATACGGGGAACCCCTGGCCGCCCTATAAGGAGAGGACCCCTCTGCACCCCTGCTATAGAGGACTGGTGCGCCTTCTGCACTGCAAAACCCTACATATCGTCATCTTCACTCTGCTTTACAAGGTGAAACTGTATCATTATTTTATGGTGCTGTCATTTTGGAGACTGACAGCCCCGTTCCCCATTCATTAACATCATATGGAAAAGAGCAGCTTGGACAATCTGCTAAATAAATATCTCCTTTTGTATTCTAAGAATCAAATGAATAAATTATGATAGAATTGACGTTTTGGTGTGAAATATTTCGAATGATGTTTAATGTTGTGTTTCAGGATTACACTGGAAATTTTTTTTATTTATTTTTATAATTAGATTTTTAATTTTAGTATGGAAACTATGCTAAAGCCAGTTGCATTGTTTAATGATTGTCTAATAAGTATTTTTGCCTTTTGTAGTTTGAAACAGTCAGGTGTTCATACGGGGAACCCCTGGCCGCCCTATAAGGAGAGGACCCCTCTGCACCCCTGCTATAGAGGACTGGTGCGCCTTCTGCACTGCAAAACCCTACATATCGTCATCTTTACTCTGCTTTACAAGGTGAAACTTATCTTGGAATAAAATGTGTGTGGTTTAATTTGTTTTAAATGCATGGTTTTCCCAGTGTTATTTGATAACCGTTGACTGTGTTTGTTTGTTTAGATCTGGATGGATCATCAGAACATGTCTGAACATGTGTTGTGTATGGTGCTCTACCTGATAGAACTTGGACTTGATAATCCGGTTCAGGATGATAAAGTGGAAGAAGTAAGCATTTCCCCCTAAATAAATTATTATATTATTATTTTTAATTATTATAATATTTTTGTAAAAAATACTCGTGTTTTTTATTTTACAGTGAAATATTGCAGTGGGATTTTTTTTTTATTTAGTATTTTTTGTTATTAATAATATTGATATATAATCACAAGCTGTTAGCTAAATTATGTAGCTCTACAAACAAGCAAACCTGGAATTCTTTTTTTAAAATCAAAATTACAGTTTTTGATTTAAAAAAAAAAAAAAAGTGCATCCCAAAGATCCAATCTGATTGGCTGGCTTCAGCACAACTTCCAACACACTCAACCAGACGGCATACTGTGATTACTCTATTAGCACTTGACTAATTAAATCGGGGTTAGTCCAGTGTTAGAACTAGACTAGATTATTAGTGGCGGCTGAAAGCACAAGCTTTGTATAAGGATTCCAGGCTATTGTTGTTGTTGTTTTTTCTCACTCTGTCGTAGGAGCCCTGTATTGAGGAGCACTGCCATGACAGCTGGTTCCCGGGCACCAGCCTGCTGTCTAACCTCCATCACGTCATCAACTTTGTGCGGGTTCGAGTGCCAGAGACGGCACCTGAGGTGGAGAGGAAGAGAGAGAGGGAGAGAGAACGAGAAGCTCCAGCCAGCACCAGCTCTGAGAGCAGCACCTTCGGACAGGTGAGCCAGACACTCTCAGGTGTGCAGAGTCTTCTGACCTTCACGCATCTCTGTTTAGTGTTTAAGACATCACTCTCGTTTCACAGAGTTCCAGAAGGCTGACAGGAAATTGGAGAGAGGTAGAAGGATTTGGGAATGATTTTAAAGTGGTGTGAAATGATTTCTAGAGTTCCGTTTTGGATAACCAAGTTTGGAATGGTTTGAATTAGGAAGACTGCACTCGTTTTGTTATTCATAGACCAGCTCGTTTCTTGTCATTAATATTTCCAATAATTATACTGACACAAGTAAGTGGGTCTGTGAAATATTTTATTTTTATAATTAGATTTTTAATTTTAGTATGGAAACTATGCTAAAGCCAGTTGCATTGTTTAATGATTGTCTAATAAGTATTTTTGCCTTTTGTAGTTTGAAACAGTCAGGTGTTCATACGGGGAACCCCTGGCCGCCCTATAAGGAGAGGACCCCTCTGCACCCCTGCTATAGAGGACTGGTGCGCCTTCTGCACTGCAAAACCCTACATATCGTCATCTTCACTCTGCTTTACAAGGTGAAACTTATCTTGGAATAAAATGTGTGTGGTTTAATTTGTTTTAAATGCATGGTTTTCCCAGTGTTATTTGATAACCCTACATATCGTCATCTTTACTCTGCTTTACAAGGTGAAACTTATCTTGGAATAAAATGTGTGTGGTTTAATTTGTTTTAAATGCATGGTTTTCCCAGTGTTATTTGATAACCGTTGACTGTTTGTTTGTTTGTTTAGATCTGGATGGATCATCAGAACATGTCTGAACATGTGTTGTGTATGGTGCTCTACCTGATAGAACTTGGACTTGATAATCCGGTTCAGGATGATAAAGTGGAAGAAGTAAGCATTTCCCCCTAAATAAATTATTTTATTATTATTTTTTAATTATTATAATATTTTTGTAAAAAATACTCGTGTTTTTTATTTTACAGTGAAATATTGCAGTAGGATTTTTTTTTTATTTAGTATTTTTTGTTATTAATAATAATAATAATAATTATTATTATTATTATTAAACTATGCTAAAGCCAGTTGCATTGTTTAATGATTGTCTAATAAGTATTTTTGCCTTTTGTAGTTTGAAACAGTCAGGTGTTCATACGGGGAACCCCTGGCCGCCCTATAAGGAGAGGACCCCTCTGCACCCCTGCTATAGAGGACTGGTGCGCCTTCTGCACTGCAAAACCCTACATATCGTCATCTTTACTCTGCTTTACAAGGTGAAACTTATCTTGGAATAAAATGTGTGTGGTTTAATTTGTTTTAAATGCATGGTTTTCCCAGTGTTATTTGATAACCGTTGACTGTTTGTTTGTTTGTTTAGATCTGGATGGATCATCAGAACATGTCTGAACATGTGTTGTGTATGGTGCTCTACCTGATAGAACTTGGACTTGATAATCCGGTTCAGGATGATAAAGTGGAAGAAGTAAGCATTTCCCCCTAAATAAATTATTATATTATTATTTTTAATTATTATAATATTTTTGTAAAAAATACTCGTGTTTTTTATTTTACAGTGAAATATTGCAGTGGGATTTTTTTTTTATTTAGTATTTTTTGTTATTAATAATATTGATATATAATCACAAGCTGTTAGCTAAATTATGTAGCTCTACAAACAAGCAAACCTGGAATTCTTTTTTTAAAATCAAAATTACAGTTTTTGATTTAAAAAAAAAAAAAAAGTGCATCCCAAAGATCCAATCTGATTGGCTGGCTTCAGCACAACTTCCAACACACTCAACCAGACGGCATACTGTGATTACTCTATTAGCACTTGACTAATTAAATCGGGGTTAGTCCAGTGTTAGAACTAGACTAGATTATTAGTGGCAGCTGAAAGCACAAGCTTTGGATAAGGATTCCAGGCTATTGTTGTTGTTGTTTTTTCTCACTCTGTCGTAGGAGCCCTGTATTGAGGAGCACTGCCATGACAGCTGGTTCCCGGGCACCAGCCTGCTGTCTAACCTCCATCACGTCATCAACTTTGTGCGGGTTCGAGTGCCAGAGACGGCACCTGAGGTGGAGAGGAAGAGAGAGAGGGAGAGAGAACGAGAAGCTCCAGCCAGCACCAGCTCTGAGAGCAGCACCCTCGGACAGGTGAGCCGGACACTCTCAGGGTCCTCTGACTCGACGCTTTTGTTTGGGATTGTACAAGTTGTTGTCTGTATGCTGTTGTGTTGATGACATCACTCTCATTTAGTGCTGCCAAACGATTAATCGCGATTAATCGCATCCAAAGGAAAAGTTTGTTTACATAATATATATGTGTGTGTGTGTACCGTTTATATTTATTATGTGTATATATATAAATACACACAATATTTAAAAAATATTTACGTGTGTGCATATATGTATATATGTGTGTGTATAATTTATATATAAATATAAATATTTCATATATAAACAAAACATATTTTTCTTAAATATACATATACATGGGTGTGTATGTGTATATATACATAATAAATATACACCGTACACGCACACAAATTATGTAAACATTTTTATTTGGGATGCGATTAATCGTGATTAATGGTTTGACAGCACTACTCTCATTTCGCAGAGTTCCAGAAGGCTGACAGGAAATTGGAGAGAGGTAGAGGGATCTGGGAATGATTTTAAAGTGATGTGAAATGATTTCTGGAGTTCTGTTTTGGATGGTTTGAATTAGGATGACTGCGCTCGTTTTGTTTTGTAGACATTCTTTTGAAATATTCATAGACCTGTTGCTCGTTTCTTGTCATTAACATTTCCAATAATTATACTGTGTGTATAATTTATATATAAATATAAATATTTCATATATAAACAAAACATATTTTTCTTAAATATACATATACATGGGTGTGTATGTGTATATATATATATAATAAATATACACCGTACACGCACACAAATTATGTAAACATTTTTATTTGGGATGCGATTAATCGTGATTAATGGTTTGACAGCACTACTCTCATTTCGCAGAGTTCCAGAAGGCTGACAGGAAATTGGAGAGAGGTAGAGGGATCTGGGAATGATTTTAAAGTGATGTGAAATGATTTCTGGAGTTCTGTTTTGGATGGTTTGAATTAGGATGACTGCGCTCGTTTTGTTTTGTAGACATTCTTTTGAAATATTCATAGACCTGTTGCTCGTTTCTTGTCATTAACATTTCCAATAATTATACTGACACAAGTAAGTGGGTCTGTGACAAATAAGCTTGTGTGAGATTATGAAAACGGGAAGAAAAGGTATAGCTTAAAATGATTGGTCAAAGAAATGTGATCTTGTATTCTTGATGTCTTCTAACATTTGCAAAAACATTTATATTAATTAGAAAAAATTGAAGTGGTGTAAACAAGTAACAATTAGATTGACAACTTCAATACACATGAGTGTGAACATCTGATGATGGATGATGTTGTTGTTAAACATTTTTTAAGGTAACTCATTTTTCATTTGATTAAAAATCATGATATTTTAGTAATGAATATTACAATTGTTGTGAGGATCAAAAGCATAACATATTAATATTTTAAGACATGACTGCTTCACTACTTTTGTGAAAATTAAAAGAAAATATATGTTTTGCCAAGTAACTAGATTAATATATGTACACTACCGTTCAAACGTTAAGATTTTTAATATTTCTTAATGTGTCTCTTATGCTCATCAAGACTGCATTTATTTGATCAAAATTACAGAAACAAATCTGTAATACTGTGCACTATAAAATAAAAATCCTGTTGTTTTTACAAACAAAAACAACAACAACAAAAAAAATCCTGGCTGCTGTGGTTGCCAGAATAATTCTGTAAAAAACACAGTAAAAATGTAAACATGTTTACAGAACAACCTGTAAATTTCACTGTATAAAACTGTAATTTACAAACAAGAAAATTGCTATTTAAATCTGCAAATCCAACAATGCACACTGCTACAAAAATCTATTTTGTACCTTTAACATATACTGACAACCACCATAATAATGCAGGTGGTAAAAGAGGAAGAACATGAAGAATTATGAAAAAGTTTCCACGAGCTAAATTATGCTAGTATACAGAAGGTGCAGTCATTCACGCAAACACAAAACACCATTGTGGCAACACACACGGCACTAAAATAATGCAATAAACATTCATTAAACAACAGAAGATGTAGCAAAAAACCCAAATATGCAGAACTGATAACAAAACCTATTAGGAAACATAATTATTTAAACACAATACTTTAAATTGTGGGAATATCAGCTTATAGTTTTTCCACTGTAAATTATACTTACATTTGCCTTTTTTACAGTTTAAAAACCGTATATTTAACAGTATTTTACTGTAAAATTACATGAAATGTCCAGTTAGATCAGTTTTTCCCTGTATGTTGTACGGGAACTTGCCTATTAATTTTTTTTTTCTTCCAGTATTCTCTGATTAATGAGTCTTGTGTAGATTTTACGTAACGTATCGCAAATGTGTTCTATAAAGAGGTTTATTCAAGTCTTCAGTTCTCAGTTCATCTCTGAAATTCTGTGCGCAATTTCTTCTATTAGACCCAGACACACAAAATGAGTATCATGCCATTGACCAAATTACAAAGAAGTGCACCGGAAATAGAGCACTGGTCGTGATGTACCTTGTGGTACTTTTAGTTTTCTGTGATTGTGTGTGTGTGTTTTTCGTCTGTGCATTGATCTGTCCAGTTTTCTCCTGCTTGGTTTGTTTGACGTGTCCACAGTATGTTCTAGCTAGAGATGAGTGTAAGTGATGAGAGGAAGTTTGCTTTAACCGCATGCGTTTCTAGTGATGTATAGTGATATAATGAGTCTTGAGCCCAGCGGTCAGCGGTTCACTGCTCATCATTAAATATTCATCCACTTCAGTGAGATCAGCATGCTAATTAAACACACTATGAACAACTGACACGTTCCATAAGGGTTAGTTCTCCGTATATGCAAAGGAATTATCTTTTATCATATTGATTCAAGAATATGTTCTTCCAGTCATTGGTCAGAAATGTCATGAATGCATTTAAACTAGACTAAAGCAGATCTATTTTTCTGACCAATGTCAGGTCTAACCTTCAGCTTCACCTCTGTGTATTTCACTTGGAGTTTGAAGTCCTCCGTGATCTTCTTTCCGGTCCTTCTGTTTCCCCCGTTGGGCAGCAAATGTCACTTGCCTAATAACTGTTTCTTATGAGACACTTCCACCGGGGCTGCTTACTGGTTCAGAAAGCCGAATCCGAGTCTAGAGTGTAATAGTTTAAATCTCTGAATACTAAGGAGTGGTGACTCTGCAGTTTCTTTAAAGAGAGAGTTCACCCAAAAATGAAAATTACCCCATAATTTACTCACCCTCAAGCCATCCTAGGTGTATATGACTTTCTCCTTTCCTATGAATACAAGAGTTATATTAAAAATATCCTTGCTCTTCCAAGCTTTATAATGGCAGTGAGTGGGTGATTTCTATCATTAGTCCAATAAAGTGCGTCCATCCATAATAAAAAAGTGTCGCACACGGCTCCGGGGGAGTGAATAAAGGCCTCCTGAAGTGAATCAATGCATTTTTGTAAGAAAAATATCCATATTTAAAACTTTATAAACCGTAATCTCTAGCTTCCGCTAACTGTCGTACACGCGTTCATTCCGGCGGATGACGTAGGCGTAGCGTAATGAGGATTTGTAAAGAAAAATGTCAGAGGATTTCGATATAAGCCAAGAGTAGACTTATTTTCCTTTGCTAAAGTAAGGAAACTTTGCTCCTGTAAACAAACGTTGGTTTTCGCGAGACTAGCATATTCTCACAGGCGCTTACGCTACGTCATCCGGCGAAATGAACGCGCATATGACAGTTAGCGGAAGCTAGAGATTACGGTTTATAAAGTTTTAAAGGGGTCATATGATGCCACTAAAAAGAACAATATTTTGTGTAATGAAATGTTTATGCGGTTTAAAGTTAAAAAAACATGTTATTTTCCACATACTGTACATTATTGTTTCTCCTCTATGCCCCGCCTTTTTGAAACGGTCGATTTTTACAAAGCTCATCGGTCTGAAAATGCGAGGTGTGCTGTGATTGGCCAGCTATCCAGTGCGTTGTGATTGGCCGAATACCTCAAGCGTGTGACGGAAATGTTACGCCCCTTACCATATTGTTGATGCCGTGTCCCGGCCGGAGCGACGAGACAAAAACATTAAAACCCATTATAAACGAGGCATTTGTTGCATCCAGTGGGGACATAATTACTGATTATAATGACTTATACTGTCTTTTTACACGTTGTTGCGTTGCATTGTGCCGCATAAACTTAAAACTCTGTCTGCATTTGTGATCGGAGAAATGACAAAAAAGTGCTACTCTACTGCCCAAAACTCGCGTTTGAATCATCAGTGGCAACGAAAAATACAGCGGCCTAGCGTGAGGGGAAGCCCCGGCTTAGCGTGCGCTGAGGCTGGGATAGAGTGAGCTGAGGTGGGCTGGACTCCGCTTCGTCCACGGTGAAAGTTGATGTATTCCCTCAGCGACCAGCACGGATCAACTCTAGGCATGATGAAGCGGATATCGTCCTCTTTTGGAAGACCAAACAAAGTAGTTTCGCTTTCACAACGAAGCACACAGCATCTTCAGGACATGGCTGCAGCGTCAACAATACTACAGCGAGAATAAAAGTTACGCCTTCTTTCTTTGCGTGAACATTTGGGCGGCGTTATGCAAATATTTCCACATAGTGAGGTAGACATGTGGGGGCGTGTTAGAACGAGCCATTTTAGGTAGGCGTGGCTGACTCTTAACTTTTATAAAGAATATCTCTTTGGATTTGAGACTTTAGTCTTTGCAACTTTACAGATCTTCTTTATGCACCAAGAGCTTGTAACACTCCAAAGAGAAAGGACAAATTGAAATCGCATCATATGACCCCTTTAAATATGGGTATTTTTCTTACAAAATGCATTGAATTTTGATTCAACTTTTATTCACCCACCCCCGGAACATTGTGGGACACTTTTTATGATCGATGGATGCGCTTTATTGGACTTCTTTTGGAATATTGACAAAAAAAACACCCATTCACTGCCATTATAAAGCTTGAAAGAGCCAGGACAATTTTTAATATAACTGATTGGATTCATCTGAAAGAAGAAAGTCATAATAACCTAGGATGGCTTAGGGTGAGATTTTCGTTTTTGGGGGAACTATCCCTTTAAATTAATATAGCAAAAATCCATATCCTAAAGATGGCAAACAGGAAGTGAGGCTGTATATCGACGGCATTGTGTTATGCACAATTTTGTATCATTGCTACACTGTAAAATATAAAATAAAATTGACCTAACTCAAAAAAACTAAAATAAGGCTACCTATCGCAGTCAACCTAGGTTCACTTAATTAGCAACTGACAACTTAACAACTTTTTTTTATTCAACTTTTATTCACCCACCCCCAGAACATTGTGGGACACTTTTTATGATCGATGGATGCGCTTTATTGGACTTCTTTTGGAATATTGACAAAAAAACACCCATTCACTGCCATTATAAAGCTTGAAAGAGCCAGGACAATTTTTAATATAACTGATTGGATTCATCTGAAAGAAGAAAGTCATAATAACATAGGATGGCTTAGGGTGAGATTTTCGTTTTTGGGGGAACTATCCCTTTAAATTAATATAGCAAAAATCCATATCCTAAAGATGGCAAACAGGAAGTGAGGCTGTATATCGACGGCATTGTGTTATACACAATTTTGTATCATTGCTACACTGTAAAATATAAAATAAAATTGACCTAACTCAAAAAAACTAAAATAAGGCTGCCTATCGCAGTCAACCTAGGTTCACTTAATTAGCAACTGACAACTTAACAACTTCAGTTCATGTAATGAATAAAAGGCAGTCTATTGAATTTTAAAAGATCTGCCACATCAACTAAAGATTATTTAGCATTTTGAATTGCTAATCCTCTTTAGCAATTCTTTCTTTTATATGAAATGAAATATGAACTCTGATCCATATGACAGCTAACTGACAGTGACAGCAGCAGCAGCATAAATTAAAGGGGTCATATGATGCAATTTCAAGTTTTCCTTTCTCTTTGCAGTGTTACAAGCTGTTTGTGAATAGATAAGATCCCTAAAGTTGCAAAAACTAAAGTCTCAAACCCAAAGAGATATTCTTTGTAAAAGTTACTTTATAAAGAATAACTCGTCCACGCCCTCCTAAAACCTCTCGTTTAAACACGCCCCCACATGTCTACGTCACGATGTGGGAAGATTTGCATAACGCCACCCAAATGTTCACGCAAAGAAAGAAGGCGTAACTTTTATTCTCGCTGTAGTATTGTTGTTGCTGCCGCCGCCATGTTGTGAAGTCTCTGTGTGTTTCGTTGCAAAAGTGCAACTACTTTGTTTGGTCTTCCAAAAGAGGACACGACTAGAAATCAGTGGTTAAGTTGTATTTACAACACTGTTCCAGAACACTTCAACCCAAATATTCAGATGTGTGCAGCACATTTTATGGAGGACTGTTTCCTGATCCTGGTAGAGTAGACTACAATGCCGGCTGTTCTGACTCACAGACTGTAAGTACATTTTCATTTAAAGGATTTGCCACTGATGATTCAAACGTGAGTTTTGGGCAGTGTAGAGTAGTGCTTGTTGTTTGTCATTTCTCCGATCACAAATGCAGACATGGTTTTATGTTTACGCGGCGAGATGCAATTTTAATAATTACCACAAAATATTTTCAAGCTACAATGCATGCTGGGAACTTGCACAGTATTGTTCAACATAAAATAAGCTAATATCAGTGTTTATCTTGACTAACTTTTTAAAATCTAGTTATTATTATTATTATTATTATTATTACTACACATTCTGATTATTACTATTAATACATATTTACTAATAATAATAATGATTAAACTATTAAATATATTTTATCATGGTGCACTTGACACCCTTTTATAAAAGTACTTGGCTCTTTAAAGACCATGTTTTACAATGATTTAACAACCGAACTCAACCTTGAGTGGGTTATTGCTTTTGTAATAGCATGTGAATTTCTTGCTGTGAGTGTCTATGACTCTTGATGACTCGTGATTGTGCTGTTGGTGTGCTTAGAGACATATAGCTGCAAGCGGCTTTTTCATTCTGCCTGCTTATTCTCCGTCTGTGGTCTCTCCGCAGAACCTACGCGAGGCTCAGGTCTTCAGTCTAGTGGCAGAGCGCAGAAGGAAGTTCCAGGAGATCATAAACCGCAGTAACCACGAGGCCAGTCAGGCGGTGCGGCCCAAGTCCTCATCCTCTCGCTGGCTGCCGCCCGGCTCGCCTCCGCAGCTGGTGACTGAGATCCTGGAGATCCGTGAGAGCATGCTGTCTCTGCTGGTCAAGCTGCACCAGAAACTGTCTGCCAAGCAGGACTCTCTGTCTCTGAGCTGGTTGGCCGAGGTGGATCCGGCCCATCATGCGCACGGAGATGGGTTAACAGCTATCGAGAGGATCCTGGCCAAAGCTGCCACCCGTAGCCGGCACAGCAAGAGGTGCCTACAGGAAATCTGCGGGAAAGTGTGTTCACCCATACCGCTCAAGAAGAACAGTCCTGGAGATAAGAAGAGTATGGACAAGGACGAGAGGTGTGTGTGTGTGTGTGTGTGTGTTCCCTGTTTCATGTGCACCCTTTCTCAGAACCTTAGAATGAGTTAAACATGCTCTTTTATGTTTGCGTAGTATATCAATGTCTGATTTGAAAAAATATGGCTTTCTGCCAGATTCATGAGCTGTTATGAAGTCTGTATCTTTCATTCTTCAATGCTCTGTATTGGTGATAGAACGAGTAATAAACCGACCGTTAGCATCTCTGATTATGGGCTGAGTCTTAATGTCTTTTAAAAGTCATTCAATCAAATGATTTGTTCAGCTGATTGATGTGTGATTGATTTTTTTTTATGAATGGGTCACTCAGTCATTGGCTCACTCGATGCGTGTTGCACTGAAAGGCCCAACAGTTCTGCTGTGGTTTGTTTGGAAATATTTTCTTTGGTTAAATTGAGCAAAAACGATTAATACTGACAATATTGTGTCTAACTTTTTGTTTATTGAACTCTTTTATAAAATCAATATCACATAAGTCGATGTCCTGTATCATAGGCATCAGCAACTGTAAGATAACAAACAGGTCTGGTACATTAAATGCTTAAATGCCGGCCGTCATATCACCCTGTAGCCCAAGACTGGTTGCCCACTGAAGCTAAGCAGGGCTGAGCCTGGTCAGTACCTGGATGGGAGGCCTCCTGGGAAAACTAGGTTGCTGCTGGAAGAGGTGTTAGTGAGGCCAGCAGGGGGTGCTCACCCTGTGGTCTGTGTGGGTCCTAACGCCCCAGTATAGTGACGGGGACACTATACTGTCAACAAGCACCGTCCTTCGGATGAGATGTTAAACCGAGGTCCTGACTCTCTGTGGTCATTAAAAATCCCAGGATGTCTTTCGAAAAGAGTAGAGGTGTGACCTCGGCATCCTGGCCAAATTTGCCCATTGGCCTCTGATCATCATGGCCTCCTAACAATCCCCATATCTACTGATTGGCTTCATCACTCTGTCTCCTCTCCACCAATGAGCTGGTGTGTGGTGGGCGTTCTGGCGCACTATGGCTGCCGTCGCATCATCCAGGTGGATGCTGCACACTGGTGGTGGATGAGGAGATACCCCCTGACAATGTAAAGCGCTTTGAGTGCCTAGAAAAGCTCTATATAAATGCAACAAATTATTATTATTATTATTTAATAATTTTAACAATTTTTCCATAATTAATAGCGCCCAATTAATGCGTTAATTCTGCAGCCCTAATTTTTTTATTTATATATATGTTTATCGCCATCTTATTGGGTAACGTGACAATATTATGAAAGAACAAGAAATTAAAATAATTATATATGGACCAGAATTTCAGTTGGTGTGCCTCTAACTAATGAGCATTTCCAATGGACTCAATGGTTGTCTGAGGACGAGTATATGCCAGTCTTCAAAATCTGATTTGGTAAATGATGATCAAATGCGTCCTTCAAACAGTCATCAGATGTAGTCGGATTATCTTAACGTCAGCATTTCAACCCCATCTGATTCTTAACCCATGATTCATAGCCTTAGAAAATGGACATTTCATAATTAACGGTTAATAATGATGCATATGATTTCTGTTTTGACATCTGCAGGCGTCAAAGGGCCAGAGAGAGACAGCAGAAGCTGCTGGCAGAGTTTGCCTCCAGGCAGAAGAGCTTCATGGAGACTGCCATGGATGTTGGTGAGCTAGCACATGAGTTGAAGTTCATTGCTGACCTTTATGAAGCACATCTGATGAGTCTCTCCAGTGGTTAATTAGTAGATAAGTTTCATGTCTATTTGACTGATCTAAAGACACCGCATACATTTTTAATCGGTGTGTGTTTCCACCTTATCTTTGAGTCTGTCTGTGGCTGTTGTTCTGTGGAATTTAGAATTTTGGATAAAGTTAGTCTTTTTAAATAAATCAAAATTGTTAATTAAAATAGCTCATACAGAAAGCGGTGCATATGAATGCATTATGGTATTGGTTTGATATTTCAAGAACATTAAGGAATGTTATTGTAGCTATTTAGATACAATTCTGGTTTTAATCATGCGCTCTTCAATGTAGTGTTCTTAACAGTTTAGTCGATTATATTTTACAGTCCATTACTACATAGTTTAGAGGACGTGGTAAACTTGCAGAAGTCCTTGAAGGCTGAAGCTGTGGGCTGTAATCTTACTCTCTGAGGGAAGGTGACACAAATTGCCTCTGTTCTGACCTTCACACTCCCTCGGGCCTTTTTAGCAGGGCCTTTGTGTGTGTGTGTGTGTGTGTGTGATCCTCAGGGGCCGTACTGGTGTGCTTCAGGGCTATTCTGCTGTGTGCTGGTCACCGAGATCAAGAGAGAATGGCACTTGTGGTAAACTTGCAGAAGTCCTTGAAGGCTGAAGCTGTGGGCTGTAATCTTACTCTCTGAGGGAAGGTGACACAAATTGCCTCTGTTCTGACCTTCACACTCCCTCGGGCCTTTTTAGCAGGGCCTTTTGTGTGTGTGTGTGTGTGTGATCCTCAGGGGCCGTACTGGTGTGCTTCAGGGCTATTCTGCTGTGTGCTGGTCACCGAGATCAAGAGAGAATGGCACTGTGTTTAAGACATGAGTGATGAAGTTTTAATATAAACCTTACTGTAATATCTCAGCACAGTCAGCATTATATTCTACATGTGTGTGTGTGTGTGTGTGTGTGTTTTCTCACAACAGCCTCTTTCTAGATTAAAGCCACTAGGCATAGATTGTCGAAATTTGCCAGTAGTTTGGTACTAAGTCGATAGTAAAATATTAAACAAATGCAACAGTACCAGTATCGGTAGTACTACCAAGCGTTTCTGTTTGAAAAGGCCTTGTGTGTTAAAGAAAATTATAGAGCGTTGCAATTATTTTTGTATTTCATGTTTAGAGCAGCGGTGGTGCACCGAAATAATTTTTTTACCAAAACACTGAAACTGGAATTAAAGTTTGCATTTGGCCGAAACTGAAAATAAAGTTTATTTAATCAATCACGTTTAAAGTCAGCATGAAACAGAAGTTGAGATTTTCTTTTTTTTTCCCCCTGTTGTGACGTATATCCGAGTGAAACGGCTACTGAAATTAGAAAAAAATGCAGGGTGGGGCTTGATTTCATCCTTCGGGAATTGATTGGATCATTGGGCGTTGCTAACAAAATGAAGGCAGAAACGAGACCGACCCCGATAGCCCCGCCCTCACGTCACAGCACATGACAGGAAGAGAAGAGAAGTCGTTTCGAGGGGGGAGGGAAGGTTAACGTATTTGATTAAAGATTATGAGGGCACATTAATAAAAAAAAAAAAAAAATGACGTGCACAGATAAATATTTATAATAAAAACTACAATATTACATATAAAAATAAGAATTGTACATTTTGATTTCATGGCGACTTTAAATTAGTCAAGACTCAAATAAAATTTGTTAACATTAGTTAACTACATTAGTAAACATGAACTAAGAATGAACAATACTTCTACAGCATTTATTAATCTTAGTTCATGTTGATTTCAGTATTTACTAATGCATTATTAAAATTACAAGTTGTGTTTGTTAACATTAGTTAATGCACTGTGGTTTAACATGAACGACTGTATTTTCATTAACTAACATTAACAAAGATTAATAAATACAGTAATACATGTATTGTTCATTGTTTGTTTATGTTAGTTAATACATTAACTAATGGAACCTTAATGTAAAGTGTTACAAATGGAGTTAAAATGTTAAAAATACAAATAAGGCAGTTTTAAAGGGTTATTCACCCAAAAATGAAAATGCTGTCATTAATTACTCGTGTTGTTTCAAACCCGTAAGACCTTCGTTCATCTTCGGAACACAAATTAAGATATTTTTGATGGAATCTGAGAGCTGTCAGACCCTGCATAGACAGCAACACAACTGAAATGTTCCCAAGTCCAGAAACGTAGCAAGGAGATCGGTAAACACAAATTGCCTCTGTTCTGACCTTCACACTCCCTCGGGCCTTTTTAGCAGGGCCTTTTGTGTGTGTGTGTGTGTGTGATCCTCAGGGGCCGTACTGGTGTGCTTCAGGGCTATTCTGCTGTGTGCTGGTCACCGAGATCAAGAGAGAATGGCACTGTGTTTAAGACATGAGTGATGAAGTTTTAATATAAACCTTACTGTAATATCTCAGCACAGTCAGCATTATATTCTACATGTGTGTGTGTGTGTGTGTGTGTGTGTGTGTGTGTGTTTTCTCACAACAGCCTCTTTCTAGATTAAAGCCACTAGGCATAGATTGTCGAAATTTGCCAGTAGTTTGGTACTAAGTCGATAGTAAAATATTAAACAAATGCAACAGTACCAGTATCGGTAGTACTACCAAGCGTTTCTGTTTGAAAAGGCCTTGTGTGTTAAAGAAAATTATAGAGCGTTGCAATTATTTTTGTATTTCATGTTTAGAGCAGCGGTGGTGCACCGAAATAATTTTTTTACCAAAACACTGAAACTGGAATTAAAGTTTGCATTTGGCCGAAACTGAAAATAAAGTTTATTTAATCAATCACGTTTAAAGTCAGCATGAAACAGAAGTTGAGATTTTCTTTTTTTTTCCCCCTGTTGTGACGTATATCCGAGTGAAACGGCTACTGAAATTAGAAAAAAATGCAGGGTGGGGCTTGATTTCATCCTTCGGGAATTGATTGGATCATTGGGCGTTGCTAACAAAATGAAGGCAGAAACGAGACCGACCCCGATAGCCCCGCCCTCACGTCACAGCACATGACAGGAAGAGAAGAGAAGTCGTTTCGAGGGGGGAGGGAAGGTTAACGTATTTGATTAAAGATTATGAGGGCACATTAATAAAAAAAAAAAAAAAATGACGTGCACAGATAAGTTATTTTTGTATTTCATGTTTAGAGCAGCGGTGGTGCACCGAAATAATTTTTTTACCAAAACACTGAAACTGGAATTAAAGTTTGCATTTGGGCGAAACTGAAAATAAAGTTTATTTAATCAATCACGTTTAAAGTCAGCATGAAACAGAAGTTGAGATTTTCTTTTTTTTTTCCCCTGTTGTGACGTATATCCGAGTGAAACGGCTACTGAAATTAGAAAAAAATGCAGGGTGGGGCTTGATTTCATCCTTCGGGAATTGATTGGATCATTGGGCGTTGCTAACAAAATGAAGGCAGAAACGAGACCGACCCCGATAGCCCCGCCCTCACGTCACAGCACATGACAGGAAGAGAAGAGAAGTCGTTTCGAGGGGGGAGGGAAGGTTAACGTATTTGATTAAAGATTATGAGGGCACATTAATAAAAAAAAAAAAAAAATGACGTGCACAGATAAATATTTATAATAAAAACTACAATATTACATATAAAAATAAGAATTGTACATTTTGATTTCATGGCGACTTTAAATTAGTCAAGACTCAAATAAAATTTGTTAACATTAGTTAACAAATTTTATTTGAGTCTTGACTAATATAAAATTTGTTAACATTAGTTAACTACATTAGTAAACATGAACTAAGAATGAACAATACTTCTACAGCATTTATTAATCTTAGTTCATGTTGATTTCAGTATTTACTAATGCATTATTAAAATTACAAGTTGTGTTTGTTAACATTAGTTAATGCACTGTGGTTTAACATGAACGACTGTATTTTCATTAACTAACATTAACAAAGATTAATAAATACAGTAATACATGTATTGTTCATTGTTTGTTTATGTTAGTTAATACATTAACTAATGGAACCTTAATGTAAAGTGTTACAAATGGAGTTAAAATGTTAAAAATACAAATAAGGCAGTTTTAAAGGGTTATTCACCCAAAAATGAAAATGCTGTCATTAATTACTCGTGTTGTTTCAAACCCGTAAGACCTTCGTTCATCTTCGGAACACAAATTAAGATATTTTTGATGGAATCTGAGAGCTGTCAGACCCTGCATAGACAGCAACACAACTGAAATGTTCCCAAGTCCAGAAACGTAGCAAGGAGATCGGTAAAATAATCCATGTGACATCAGGGGTTCATCCGCAATTGTACGAAGCTACGAGAATACTTTTTGTGTGCAAAAGAAAAAAAAAAAAAAAAAAAAAAAAAAGACTTTATTCAACAATTTGTCTCCTCTGCATCACCCTGGTGCCATTTTGGAGAATATCTGCTGGACGTAAACAGTATGCTGTTCTGTGTCAGCTGCGTCACAGGGATACGCTGTTTCAGTTCAGATCAAATCACAACAACGTAGGAAACAGATCCGGCGTGACGCAGCTGACACAGAACAGCATACATTGTTTATGTCCAGCTGATACTCTCTAAAATGGCACCACGGTGATGCGGAGGAGACGAATTGTTGAATAAAGTCATTATATTTTTTTTAAAAATTTTTTTTGGAAAAAAAAAAAAAAAAAAAAAAAAAAAGACTTTATTCAACAATTTGTCTCCTCTGCATCACCCTGGTGCCATTTTGGCGTGACGCAGCTGACACAGAACAGCATACGCTGTTTACGTCCAGCGGATATTCTCCAAAATGGCGCTACATGGTGATGCGGAGGAGACAAATTGTTGAATAAAGTTGTTATTTTTATTTTGTGCGCACAAAAAGTATTCTCGTAGCTTCATATAATTGTGGTTGAACCCCTGATGTCACATGGATTATTTTACAGATCTCCTTGCTACGTTTCTGGACTTGGGAACATTTCAGTTGTGTTGCTGTCTATGCAGGATCAGACAGCTCTCAGATTCCATAAAAAATATCTTAATTTGTGTTCCGAAGATGAACGAAGGTCTTAAACGACATGAGGGTGAGTAATTAATGACAGAATTTTCATTTTTGTGTGAACTTTTCCATTAATATCAACTTCTAAATGATATAATTGTTTCTACCCAAGTTTGTTGTTTTCATGACAAATGTATTCAAACGTAACATGTTTACAAGCTCTTTTATTGATGTCTTTCTGCAGTTGAAGCACTGATTGAGTGATAACATAAAAACTATACATTTCAGTAAGTTGTACTGTATCTTTCGACAAACCCTTCTGATGGTCATTAATGTTTATTTCATTCGATAACTAGTAGTAAAGAGGAAGACATGATCGGTTATGTGCTTTGCACTGTCACTTGAACTGAGTGATCTGTCACACCACATTAAAGCGTGTCAAAGAAATTGTGCGATCATATTGCGATTATTGGAAGACAGGAGTGCTACAAAAAATGTTTTGTTCACACATCAGCTGAAAACAGCATGGACTAAAAGTTCCAGCTTGGGATTTAAGAATAGATATTTTTTCATCTGAATGAAGGTGGATTGAAAATGAGAACTTGATATTGCCAGCCCAGCCCAGCCCTAGCATCCACACAGCTGACATGTTTAGCTGTTGTCGTTTATCCATTTTGTGTGCATGAAATAGACAATGACATTGGAGAAACGCTAATTAAATGTCACAGTTTCAGTCAGTGATTTCAGCCCTCTAAAAACGGTTTTGGCCGAAACAAAAAATAAATTTTCTACTGAATATTTCCGTTTGCCGAAATTTCAGAACATCACTACAGAGCAGTGTTATCTGAATAGGGATCATATCTAATCTGTTTAGATAACCAGTATTTGTCTTTGCTTCCCAGAAGTCAACAGCAAATGCTCAAAGTGACATTGAGATTTGGTTGAAATATTAGCTTCAGATGCCCATGGCTGATGTCCCCGCTGACATTGAGCGGCGTCTGTATTATAGATGTGTAGATGCATCCGTTTGTCAGAATAAAACATTCTCTTGAGCTCTGATCTACAGGCTCCATTTGTTTTACAGATTCTAATCAAAGGTCACTTTGGACATGGATATTTGCACTGGAATTCTAATGAGATAAATTGGGCCAGCATTTGGCGCATCTGTGCATATGGTAATGCATCTCAGAGCAGTACTGGATGCCTTACTGCAGGGATAAGAACAGAGACGGGTGTTTACAGAGGGATTTGAGTTTCAATCGATGCCTGATCAGAAATCAAATCAGCTCAATACAGTCTTAATTAAAGAGAACTTAAGTGCCTTTAATGTACAAAAATACTGTATCTAGAATTTCATGGTACGGTTTTTTTTTTTTAACTTTTTTAACTTTATTTTTTTTTGCTTCGGAGCTTCAAACTGTGCCAGACTCTCTAAAATTCTGTTGAGCAGTCAATGTCTACACAACTTAAACTGAATGTTATTGACCACCTAGGGAAAGTATCCCTCATGGTCGATCCAAATTGATCTTCATCTGTGCTTTAAAATCTAGTGAGTTGTCTTATCTACTGCTCTGTTTTTTTTCAATACTCTTCACGAATGAAATGGAATAATTTATAATCAACATTCCTCTCAACTTTTTGCAGTGCATTTTGAGAGTGCCTCTTGTGTGAGGGATGCACAGAACTTGCTCAATACAAAGTAACATGAAATTTAGCTGCCTTTTCATTACTTTGGTGCCTTAAAATGTTGTACAGTAATTGTGGGTAGCTCACTAGGTTGTGGAAACCAAGCCCTTTTATTTGAAGGGAAATTTTGTGATCTACCAGTTTATAATTCTGTGCTCTATAGTTCTTTGTATTTGTTATCTGACTGTTGTTTGATTTGTTTAATAGAGTCACCTGAAACCGATGCAGTGATGGACATGGGCTCGGCAGAACCTCTGGACTCAGAGGTTCTGTATGACTGTGTCATCTGTGGCCAGAGCGGCCCGTCTACTGAAGACAGACCCACAGGACTGGTGGTACTGCTGCAGGCTTCATCAGGTATCACACACCTGCTCTCACAAGTTCAGCATTTACATTAGCAATGTATTTGTGTCTGTTTCAACAGTGGTCAGTATTAGTGTCTTTTGTGTTTATGGAAACACATCCAAATGTTTTATTCATCAATGCACTGAATGCACAATGCAATATATAGTATATCTTGGAACTTTAGTCTGCATGGCTATGATTAGCTATTTTGTTGTGTTGCGTTATTTGGTTGGTGGGGAATATACAGATTGAACATGAGAGGTCCAAGGATTGAGCCCTGGGGGACTCCCCGTTATGGAGGTCCAGTCAGTTTTGTGGTTGCCTGTATTACCATACTGTTGCTTGCTTTCAAAATGTCTTCCAAGCAGACACTGTATTTAAAGTCGTGATGCATAAGTCACTAAAGATAAGTCTGCTATTTGTATCAGAAAGTCCAGTTTGACATTTTAAAGAAATGTTGGCAACTTTGAACAAGGTTCTTCAAAAAATGAAAATGCTGTCACAATTTTCTCATCCCAAACCAAAAATGTATGTACATTTGCATTTATTTGTATAGGGCTTTTCACAATATATAGTTTCAAAGCAGCACAGTATATTGAATGCAATACGTCCCAATTATTTTTTTTACTCTTATGTTGACTGAGAATATCTATACTCTAGAGTGGAAGGTGGAAGCCAGTGTTTGTCTTGTGTGTGTGTGTGTTTAAATAACACTGGAAGTGCTTTTTTCTGTGGTCAGATGTTGTTGACGTATGATTGGAAGTCTCCTGTAGGGAAAAAGAAAAAAAAAAGATGCAAATATCTATTCTAAGGTCTCTAACAGCTGTAGGACAAGAGTGCAGCATTCCAGCATTCCATCTGCAGGTAATCGATTGTAGTGGACGTGGTCCAGATCACTGGAGCTCTTTAACTCTACATTAACCCACCCATGACTTTAAATTCGCCCACTTTACACTACTTGATTTTAACAACGGCGTTTCAGTTGTTTCATTTATCAAGCATTGTGACCTCTTAGCAGGTAGACTCGAAGATAGTCTTCTCCCGCCCCAGTCCTGTGATTTAAAATTAGCATTCTGTTTTATGAATAATCACTGGACTGTGATT